GAGGGCAGTGTTGGGGTTCTCAGACTCTGAAACCATGAGCTAAATGACCCTCTCTGACGCTACCCGCGCTCAGCATTTCTGTTGTTAGTGACAGAGCCGGTCACCCTGCCCGGTCGCCCTTGTGCTCACCGACATCAGAGATTCTTGTCTTTTCTTTCTGTCACACTCACAAGACACTGATGCTTACGCATTTGGTTCATGCCCCACGCCTGCTAAGAAAATGGCTTTTTAATTGTCAGAGGGCGTGTGCACTTTTTCTAGACAGAGGAAAGCACCCCCACTGGGGCGTGGCCACGTTGCAATCCCTTTTCCTGCATTTCTCCTTCCCACTAGGATTTTGGGCATGTGCATGCACGCAGCGTGGTTTTCAAGTTCCTGGGGCAGGGATTGAGCAGTGGCCAGCCATGTGCTAAAGAGAGAGAAAAGCGGCAATCTTAAAGTTGATTACAGAACCAGCGGTGGTATGGTTAGAGTGTCTGGATCCCAGTGGCTGACTGTGTGGTTTGAATCCCAGACCTGGCCACTTGGAAAAAAACAAAAACAAAACCAAAAGCAAATATGCTCACCAGGTGCGTGTGCGTGCGTACCCAGAATCCCCAGAGGAGAATGGAGGAGAAGGGATTGCAGTGTGGCCATCCCCATCCTCTCTCTCTCTCTCTGTCTCTCTGGAGAGTACACTTGCCCTATAGCAAAATTATAAAAAGGAAAAGTTACAGTTTTAGAAGCAGCTGGTTATGTCTCTCAAGATCTCTCTGCTTGTTAATTAGGCTCAAGGGCCCTAAAATCTCTACGTGGGGTGCAAGGGTCAGGATCTAGTGACCTTTGTCCCTCCAGAGAGGTCCTGAGAGGTACCCGAGTCTATTTGTGCTCGGCCACCAGGACATACCAGAATCTTCAAGATGATGCCAGAAACCCTGACCAGGGCCCCAGCTTCTCCCCCCACAACCCCAGCCTGTCCTCGCTGTGGTGGGCACGAGGCTTCCCTCCCAGTGCTGCCCGTCCAGGGCTCCTGAGTCCACCTCAAAGGCTGCTCACGCTCCTGCTCCCGCACCTGCTCCCGCGCCTTCACGGGCCCCACTTCATACCTCTCTCTGTGTCGCGGTTCTGGTTAGCGTCTTTCCTGTCCTTCCAGCTGCAAGCAGAGTGCTGGGCTACAGGAAGGTGACTGGCTAGACCCAGCTTTCCTGGGACTTTTCTGGTTTTACCATTGAGTGCTAAAGGCAAGAGGAAGCCTCCCACGGCCCTCTCAGTTCTGAGTAACCGAGGCGGCTTGTTGTGCTAACTGGCTGTGTTGGAAATCCAGAGACATTTGTTGTGTGAAGAGGGCAGTCTTGGGGTTCTCAGACTCTGAAACCATGAGCTAAATGACCCTCTCTGACGCTACCCGCGCTCAGCATTTCTGTTGTTAGTGACAGAGCCGGTCACCCTGCCCGGTCGCCCTTGTGCTCACCGACATCAGAGATTCTTGTCTTTTCTTTCTGTCACACTCACAAGACACTGATGCTTACGCATTTGGTTCATGCCCCACGCCTGCTAAGAAAATGGCTTTTTAATTGTCAGAGGGCGTGTGCACTTTCTCTAGAGACAGAGGAAAGCACCCCCACTGGGGCGTGGCCACGTTGCAATCCCTTTTCCTGCATTTCTCCTTCCCACTAGGATTTTGGGCATGTGCATGCACGCAGCGTGGTTTTCAAGTTCCTGGGGCAGGGATTGAGCAGTGGCCAGCCATGTGCTAAAGAGAGAGAAAAGCGGCAATCTTAAAGTTGATTACAGAACCAGCGGTGGTATGGTTAGAGTGTCTGGATCCCAGTGGCTGACTGTGTGGTTTGAATCCCAGACCTGGCCACTTGGAAAAAAACAAAAACAAAACCAAAAGCAAATATGCTCACCAGGTGCGTGTGCGTGCGTACCCAGAATCCCCAGAGGAGAATGGAGGAGAAGGGATTGCAGTGTGGCCATCCCCATCCTCTCTCTCTCTCTCTGTCTCTCTGGAGAGTACACTTGCCCTATAGCAAAATTATAAAAAGGAAAAGTTACAGTTTTAGAAGCAGCTGGTTATGTCTCTCAAGATCTCTCTGCTTGTTAATTAGGCTCAAGGGCCCTAAAATCTCTACGTGGGGTGCAAGGGTCAGGATCTAGTGACCTTTGTCCCTCCAGAGAGGTCCTGAGAGGTACCCGAGTCTATTTGTGCTCGGCCACCAGGACATACCAGAATCTTCAAGATGATGCCAGAAACCCTGACCAGGGCCCCAGCTTCTCCCCCCACAACCCCAGCCTGTCCTCGCTGTGGTGGGCACGAGGCTTCCCTCCCAGTGCTGCCCGTCCAGGGCTCCTGAGTCCACCTCAAAGGCTGCTCACGCTCCTGCTCCCGCACCTGCTCCCGCGCCTTCACGGGCCCCACTTCATACCTCTCTCTGTGTCGCGGTTCTGGTTAGCGTCTTCAACCGTCTCCTGTCTCTCACAGCCACTTCTGAGGGGGGGGAAAAGGTCATCCCATAAATCTAAGGCATTATGGCGATGACAGCAGTGCCCGAGTGCTGTGACACCCACTGGGCTGGGGAAGGTACAGCTAATTAGTTGGAAAACTTACTTTTCAGGCATGAGTCATTGGGAGCAGGTGTCAGGGGAGCCTTTAACAAGGCCCTCGTGACTCGCATGATATTTCCACTCTGCATCGCCGCGTGGATGTGGGGGTGCAGGAGTAGCTGCTGTGTCCCCACCCGAGAGAGGAGGGCGTGTGCTCAGAGGAGCACCAGTGTTAGAAACAAGTGCCTTTCTGCTTCCCGTCTCCCCCCTTCTCTCATTCCTTTTTATTGCCAGAGGCACACACTGACCGGAGAGAGCGGCAAAGACATGACGGAGGGAGAAAGCGCCCCCGATGGGGCGTGGTCATGCCACTACCCGTTCTCCCCTTCCCCCACCATGTCGGGATTTGGGCGTGCACACATGCCCCCAGCATTTTTTTTTAATAGAGATTTTTGTATAGGGTGTGTGCACTTGCTGGAGAGACAGAGATAGAAAGTGAGAAATCACTCCCCATGGGGGATGGCCCCGCCACAATCCCTTCTCCTCTTGGGATCTTGGACATGCACGCATGTGTGCTAGGTGTGAGTTTTAAGCCACAGAGTCCAGGACTCGATCTGCGGTCGACTGTGGGAGTTCAGTGACGTAACCATTATGCCATCTGCTGGGCCCCTCCCTGACCCCCTGCCCCTGGCGTATTTTTCAAGCTGCCAAGGCTGGTATTTGAACCGCAGCTGGCCACAGGGATTGGGTCCTTCCAGTTTTCAGTAAATGTTTAGTGAGCACCTACCAGGTGCAGGCCCTGTCCTAGGCGCTGGGAGTCAGTGGTAAGCACCGTGGTTGAGCCTCTGCCAGTATAGACTGACTTCTTCATGCAGAAGACAGACCATAACTAAGAAGCAGAGAATTAAAGAAGGCAATTTCAGAAGTTGGGGAGTTGATGAAGGTTGAGCAGGGTGAGGAGAGGGAGCAGTAGAGGAGGGGGAGGGAAGGCCGTGCTGGGAAGGTGACAGGCGGGAGCCAGCCATGCAGTGCTCTGCAGGGAGATCATTCCTGACACCGACACCGACACCGGAGGGCTCCGCGGGTACCACAGGAGCCAGGCGGGCATGCCAGAGAGAAGGAAACAGAGTGGGAGCCGATGCTGTGGGGGACTGCAGGCCCGGATCACCCAGGTGCTTGGGCTTCACATTCAGCGTAATGCCGACAGTCATGGAGGCTTTGGTCAGGAGTGTTGATGGGCTTTTTTTTTTTTAAGTTTTGCTAAGGGTGTGTGTGCTCACCAGAGACAAAGAGGAAGAGAGAGAGCGAGAGAAAATGAAAATGCACTCTCTAGGGGAATGACCACACCACGATCCTTTTCCTCCACCCTCCTCTTGGGATTCTGGGCACATCGCACATGCACACACACACACTCAGCGTGTTTCTAAAGCCACAGGGTCTGGGTCCCAAACTGTGCAGTCGGCCACATGGGATTTAGCACCTTAATCACCATACCGCTCAGCTGGTCCAGTTTCCATTTTCTTAACTCTCTTTTGTTTTCTTTGCCAGAGAGAGAAAGACAGGGAGGCGGTGAGAGCAGCACCCATGGCTCACTCTCATCGTCTCCATTTCTCTCCCGTCAGGGTTTTGGAGATGCACAAGCATGAGCCTGGCATTTGTTTGTTTGTTTGTTTGTTTTTGGAGAGGTTTTTGCTATAGGGCGCATGCGCTCACCGGAAAGACAGAGAGACAGGGAGATAGAAAGTGAGAAATCACCCCCCGGGAGGGATGACCACGCCGCAATCCCTTCTCCTCCATTCTCCTCTCAGGATCTTGGGCACGCACGCACATGGGCCTGGTGTGAGTTTAAGCCACCGGGTCCGGGACTTGGACCACGGTCGACTACATGGGAGTCCAGTGACATAGCCATTATGCTAACTGTTGGTCCCGTGCCTGGCATATTTTTCAGACGAATCTGTGGCTGGGATTTGAACTGCAGATGACTCCCTTAACGACTAGGCCACAGGGCCGGGCCACCCAGATTTGTTGTAAAGCTTCATCAGGCTGACGAGGAGGGGTCACGGCCAAGAGAATCGGGGCGTCGGGATGAAAAAGAAAGCAATACCGTTGCATCTGGCGGTAAAGACAAGCTTGTAGTGGGGCCCTGGGCATAAAGCCCCTCCCTGTGCCCGGCAGTGAGGAGCTCTAAGCCCTGCAAGCCACCAGGGTTCTTCCCCGCCTCGCTGTACGCTGTACGAGGCCGGGGAGCCGCTGGAATCTCCAGGGGCACAGGGAGGGCTGTGGAGGTGTCAGGTTGTGCTTCATATTGTCGGGGACGTGGACCCCCTTCCTGAAGTGTCCACCCACTCCAGCTTTAGATTTAGATCCAGGGAAAGGGTGTAAGCCCCCCCCCATCCCCATATTAAAGTAACTGTGGACTAGAGCAGAAAGCCCACACTATCTGTTAGAGAGGAAGTGGAGAGATTTCACCACGGTAGTTAGCAACACTGACGCCATCTTTGGCATCCTCTCGGCTGCTACGGGGCACCTGAGGGAAAAAAAGAAACGGGCCTTGTGATATAAAGAGAACAGAGGACGAGAGAGAAGGGAAAAGGGAGAAAGGCCTGTGTGTGGGGGGAGGGGAGGAATCAAAGAGAAACGAGAGAGGGAAATACAGATTTATTGGCAATTTTCCTAAAAGCGTCTGTTCTCTCCCTTTTCTGCCAAGCCCACAGTGCCGCACCTGCCTGACCGCCTTGTGGAAACAGCCCTTTCACACCCAGTACCAAGCAGCTGGCCTGGCCGAGAAGCCTCACTCCCTCTTCTAAGAGAGCCGGGGGCGCCAGTCAGGTGGCGTGGAAGTTAAGGTGGCTGGATCCCACATGGCCAGCTGTGTGGTTTGAGTCCTGGACCCGGTGGCTTGGAAAATACTCTGAGTGAGGAAAAGGGATTGCTGCGTGGCTGTCCCCCTGGGGTCTGCTTTCCCACCTTCTGTCTCCAGAGAGTGCACACACTATAGCGAATTAAAAAACCAAAAACGCCCATGGAGGGCATTTTCTCTTTCCTGGGGCGCCTCCGTGGGGACCCTACAGTACAAACACATCATTGCGGCTGGACTGTTCGTATCTCTTTCTCCAAGCAAACTGGTGAAGCAAGTTTTTGCGGGGGATGATTATTCAGGTGGTAAAAAGAACAAGCCACCACCTCCTTGTTCAGGGAACAGACAAGGGGTGGGGCCTGGAGGGCGGGGTAACAGCCAGGGCTGGGGCGGGGCTCAGGGCCCAGCTTGTTTCTCTCCGATGAGGGCCCAGCCCCTTTGTGAGGTTGCTGGCCCCTCTAGGACCGGACCGCGCGTCCTTCCTGGGCCGGCCCCTCCGCGTCTGTAGGGCCGGGCGTCTACAGCCTGGAGCCTCAGGTGGCAGGCAGGTCCCACGTCCCGGGGGCTCAGTTGTTGTCTCTGGCATCCGAGGAGGCACTTCCAAACAAGATGTCACTGTCCTGGGACATGCCGCTCAGCTGCGACTTGGTCTTGATGAGGAACTGCGCCCTGCGGAACATGCCCCGCTCCTGCTCCTGCTTGAGCTCCAGGTAGGAGCGGGAGAAGGTGTGGAAGATGGAGGTCACCGGGAAGGCCATGAGGAGGATGCCGCTGAGGATGCTGCTGAGCGCCACCACCTGGCCCGGCGTGCTCCTGGGGACCATGTCGCCGTAGCCCACTGTCGTCATAGTGATGACAGCCCACCAGTAGCAGGCGGGGATGCTGGTGAACTCGGGGCTGTCTGCCATCTCGTTCTCGATGACGTAGAGGAGCGGGGCAAAGAGGGCGATGGCCACGCAGAGGAAGAGGAGCAGGAGCCCGAACTCGCGCGTGCAGCGGCGGGCCGTGAGCCCCCTTGCTGGGCGCCTGCACCAGCCGCAGGAGGAACTCCAGGGAGAACCAGCCCACGCACACCGACTCCACGATGAAGACATTGTGGCACATCTGGGAACACTGGCCCTGGGGAGAGGCAGGGCGAGAGGTCAGGGCCACCAACCAGCTACGAAGCTCTGTCCTGTCCTGCTGCTGGTGGGCTGGGCCTGCTCACCTGCCTGGGTCCTCCTCCTCCTTGTGCTGGCTCCCAGGCCTGGGCATCAAGCCCCACCTGCATGCTGGCCACTGCTCATCTCTCTCCAGCCCAGACCTCGGCCTTGAACTCCAGGCCCCTGCTAGCTGCCTCCCTGATGCCACCGCCTGGGTGCCTGAGAGGCATCTCAAGCTTATCAGGTCCAAAACGGGGTCCCTGGTTTCTCCTGGCCACCTACCCGCTGTAATCCCCCTCCTGGGTTGTTGGCAATTCCATCCTTCCAGGTGCTCTGGACAAGAGACCTGGCCTGGTCCTGACCTGCCTGTCCTCCTTCACCTACAGTGCTCAGGAGGTTCCCCTGGCTCTCCATTTAAGCCATGCTAGGATCACCCCCTGGGTCTGTCCCCTGCCCTCGCCCCTGCTCCAGCTCAGCCTCTCTCACTGGGACAATTGCAGTCGCTTCCTCCTCAGGCTCGCTCGTCTCTGCAGTCCATTTCCCACATAAATCTGTCCTGTCCCTCCCCCTGCCCAGCACCCCTGTGGTTCCCAAAGGACTCAGAGAATAGCTCCAGTCCACACGGCCATCGGTCCTCTGACCGCCCACCTCCAGTCTCACAGGCCTTCTCGCACTCCTCTAATACCCAGGCTGACCCCAGCCTAGCCTGGGACTTTCTGCTTCTGCTGGGTCTCTCTTCCCCGAATGTCCCCATGGCTCCAGCCCTCCCTTCCTCTGGTTCTCCCATCATCAGCTTCTAAGGGAGACTCTGTTTAAAAATCCCCCCTCCCTGGGGACCAGCAAATGGCATAATGGTTATGTCACTGGATTCCCATGTAGTTGACCGCTGTTTGAGTCCTGGACTTGGCAGCTTGAAACTCATGCTGGGTGCATGTGCATGCATGCTCAAGATCCTGAGAGGAGAATGGAGAAGAGAGGATTGCAGCATGGTCATCCCCCCTGGGGGGTGATTTCTCACTTCTGTCTCCCTGTCTCTCTCTGTCTCTCTGGCAAGCACACATGCCCTATAGCAAAAATCTCTCTTAAAAAAATGCCCCCAGTCCCCTTCATCTGGCTTTGTAGCGCTCAGCATCTTCTCACATGTGTTGTAAGTTCCTTATTTAGCGTGTTTATTGTCTATTTCCGCCCCACACCCCACCCTGGCAGATTACAGCCCCCCAGGCCAGGGTAGTTTGTGCTGCTGTTCACTGCCCGAGCTCCGCCCTAGAAGGGCATGCAGGTGCTCAGTACATGGTCATGTGAGTGATGGGAGAAGGCTGATGAGTCCAGACGGTGCAGGCAGAGGGACCGGGAGAGTCGGCTGGGGGACCGGAGCCGCCCGGAGACCTCAACCTTGGCACCCTTGCTCACTGCCCCAGGTGAATTCCAGCTAAGGCTGCCTTACAAAGCTTTCAAGAGAAGTTGGAAATCTGTGGTTTTACGTGAAGTCTCTGGGTGATACATGTTGGTGATAACTGTTGGTTAAAGGGAGGAAATGTTGATCTAAGTGTCGATAATAATTCAGTACAAAGCAAACACCCTATGGGCCACTAAGACACATCTTCACGTCGCACTCTGCACACAGGCTGCCAGATCCTCTCTCTGGGCTGGGACATAACTGGATGGGAGATGGTCCTAGCGGACTTGACCTCCTTCTCAGAGAGGTGCTTGGCTTGGAAAGAAGGCATCTTGCCAATTGCTGGGCACGGCTGGGTTCTACGAGTCCCTCTATAGTACCTCTCTCTCTAGAAATAAGGTAGAGGCTGGAGATAGGAGCTAATAACTTGGTGGGGCTTTAAGTTCTTGGACTGCTGGGGTGGGAAGCCACCTCCTCTAGGAAGTCTTCCTGGAGTGCCCCCCGCCTCTAAGTAGCCCCAGCAATATTGGTGGGTCCATCACATGAAGCCCTCATGGCCTATGTCCCAGACTTATGGTCATGGGGAAGGGTATCATGACCCCAACCCCAACCTCGTTTCAACAGACTTGAAGGCCCGAAAGGTTGGAAGCCTTGTGGTGGTCGCTCTGCCTTCCTGGGGTGCTGGTGCACAGTTGGCATCAAATGTGTGCACAGGGAGCGAGTGAAACAGTGAACCCCCGGGCCCAAGTGAAATCCACAAACAGTATTTTTGGTAAATCTGGATATATATATATATAAAATTAAGTAGCAGAAGTTCAATAAAACAGTGGCTTTATTAGTATTTTCCTGATCTTTTCAGGACCGAAGATGCTGGCGCCAAGAGGAGGTCAGTACCAAGTACAGGTACTTCCAGATAGGCCTCGAGTGGCAAGTGCTTTCTCTCCTTCTTTTCCTGTCTGACAGGAGCACTTCCTGCGCTCTCATTGTATGCTGCTTCCTGTCCCTTCCTGTGGACCCCTCACTGGGCCCCCTGGGGGGCAGGCCTGTGCAGAGCTGTCTGGACAGGTGAGGAAACGGAGGCGCAGAGAGGTTAAGGAACTCACCCGCAGTGACCCCGTGAGAGTGGACAGACTGGGATTCCAAATCGGGCTGTCTGGCGCTAGGCCTGCCCTCTGCCACGGCGCTGTATGCTTACCAAAAGCTCATTTTACCAGTTCAGCGCTGTTTTTCTAGTATCCATTTTAAAATTTCAATGTATAAAAAAAGTGCCAGCAACCCTCTGCGGATTATAAATGGAACAGCGATCGCTGCCTCCTCCATAATCTATGCGTGCAGGAACCCTCCCGCGGTGTGTACCCTCAGGTTAAACCAGAGCACGCGTGGTATGTGCATGGCATGTGCAAGTTCGTGGTCAGTGCTCCATAAATGCTGGCGGTACCCCGGGCAGCTCACGCCACCGCCATGCCTGTTTCTCCGATGCCAGTACAACCCGTACCTGTCTGAGACCTTCTGATCTTGCTTGAAGCTTGCTTCTAGAACCCCCCACAGGGAAGGGATCTCACACATAGGGAGGCCGAATAGAAGGTCCCTGCCCCGCGGACTCAGCTCCCACCAAGAACCACCATAGGGAGGCTGGCTGGACTCAGACAGACCTGGGTCTGGGCAGCAGCTCAGCCTCAGTGCACTCAGCTGCCAGAGGGGTGTGAGGTCACTTCCCCAGGCTATGGAAGGCCACAGAAGATGAAGTGGGCGGAGCTGCAGTCCAGGGCCAGCTCCTCTGAACCCTCGGAATGGCGTGCCAGGCCTGGGGTAAGCCTTTACACGCATTCCCTTCTTTAACACGAGAAACACTCACTGAGGACGCACACCCTATCAAAAAATGTTCTTAAGACCCAGAAAGCGTGTCTAGGATACCAGATACTAGCGAATTAAGATGAGGAAGAACTCAGGGCAGGAGAGACGCTGATGCTACGTGAGGTGCTCAGTTCAGGCCGGGCACGTCGTAAACCACGGCATTCACTCATTTGCTTATCTTTTCATTCATTCAACAAATAGAGGTTGAGCGCCTTTTCCGGGCAGGACACTGTTCTAGGCCCTGGGGGAAGATGGGGACACAGTGGAGACCAGATTGGGCCCAGCCACTGAGCCCTTGGTGCTCAGATATTAGCAGGGAGGTGGATGGCGCACAGGCACACACAGTCCCGTGGCACCATGTCAAGAGGGCCTGGGAATGCTATTCAGACAGTGCCAGCCAGGGAAGGCCTCTGGGAGGAAGTGACAGGGGGTGGGCTTAAGGAGATGCAGTCTCCTGCCCCCAGAGACCCTTCCCTCACTGTAGCAAGCCTCCCCACGTGCTGCGGGCTCTTACCTGCTCCTCCTCCTCCCTCAGGCTGGGCAAGGTGCTGACAGACAGGTTGACCGCAGTGACGGTGACAAAGAGCACTGAGAGGCAGGGGGGGGGGGTGCCGGGCAGCCCCGAGTGTGGCCTCTCCACCATGTCGCGTAGTCTCCGCATGCAGCGACCCAGGCGGCCCTCACCCTCGGGCGGGCTGTCGCTGTCGGGGCCTTCGCTGTCCAGCGGGTCGTCCTCGTCCTCGTGCTCCACCATCTCGGCGAACTCCTCGATCTTCTGCAGGTAGCGGCGTTTGCAGCAGCCGTCCAGGTGGTCCTCGGCGATGCCCCAGTACAGCAGCTCCTCCTGGAAGGACAGCGCACACACCTCGCGTAGCAGCCGCAGCTTGCCGGCCCGCAGGAAGGTCAGGATGGTGCCGAAGGCCCCGGGGTTGCGGTCGAAGAAGAACTCGTTGCAGGTCACGTCGTAGTCATCACACACGTTGAGGATGTCGTCGAAGTTGGTGCAGGCCTTGAGCTGGCCCAGCCGCGTCAGCGGGAACTCGTCCAGCGTGGTCCAGGGCAGCGAGTACCTGATGCCGCCCACGTTGATGATGATCTGCCGCCGGCGGTCCTCGGGCTGGCAGCCCTTGTGGGGCTGTTCCTGCGGCCGCAGCCGCTGCGCCCGGCGGTAGAACACGCCCTTGATGCCCTGGCTCTGTGGGAAGAAGGCCGGGTGGAAGGAAGCGTCTGAGGCGCAGCTCAGGGCGCTGTAGTCGTAGTCAGAATTGTCTCCCGGTAACAGGGTCATTTTGGGCCTTCACATCCCTCTGGGCCTGGAGTGGGGTGGAAGCAGAGGAAAGCCCCTCAGTGACCCTGATCTTGCCTGCATTATCACCTTGCTGATAATGCAGATTCTGCAGTTGGTCAGGGACTGCATGTTTGGGTCTCCCCAAAATGCGCCTGTTGAAACTCTGACCCCCCAATGTGATGGGACTAGGAAGTGAAGGCTTTGGGAGGTATTAGGTTTAAGTGAGCTCACAAGAGCACCACACTCCCATGGTGGGATTCGCTTTTTTTTTTTTTAATTGCTGGAGGGTGTGTGCACTTGTAGAGACAGAGACAGAGAGAGAGTGTGCGTGCACATACTCCCAATGTGGCATGGCCACACAGCAAGCCTCCATTTCTCCATCTGACAGGATTTGGGGCACACACACATACCCCTGGTGTGTTTTTCAAGCCACTGGGGCCAAAATTCCAACAGCAGTCAGCCTTGTGGGATCCAGCTTCCTTAACCACTAGGGTATGGGGCCAACCCAAAAGGATAGCCGTCTCCCCACTCCAACATCAAACCTGGTTTCTATATGGTTTAATCAACTGATGATTTTAAAATGATACTTAGGGATCATAATAACGTGTTAAATCTCCCCTAAAAAAGAAATCAAACCTGGTCTCCCTCATGTCAGGTGGAGCTTCCAAGAGATCATGAGCACCTTGGTAAGGCTTTGACTCACAGCAGTGACAAACGCTCGACCATTGTCAGGCCCCAGCGAAACGGGCAAGCCAAAACAGGGAACAATCTCAGGAGTTTCTCAACGACTGCCTGTATGGGTAGGGCAAGGTATTTTCTCATGGGAAGAGCAAGCAGGTTTATAGGAGCAGACAGCCATATCAAGGTAAGGGAACAAAATGGATGAACAGTTGCTCATGTGCAAGATCTAATATGTGGCCCTCCACAGCACCACTACACCAAGGTGCCCAGTGCTCTTGTGATAAGAGGAAGTGACACCAGCACGCTCTATCTCTGTCATCCTCCGTGTGAGGACAGTGAGAAGGCAGCAACCCAGAGGAGGGGCCTCATCAGAACCTGAATATGCTGGTACCCTGCTCATGGACTTCCAGCCTCCAGAACTGGAAGAAGTTAAAACTGTTGAAGGCACTCAGTCTTTCGTACTTGTTACAGCAGCCTGAGCTGACTGATGCACTCACTTCAAAAACAGCAACAGTGTCATTCAGCATTTCCTACCCTGCACAGTTCTTCCACAGCTGCCTGGTTCATGCAATAAAAATGTCCCGACACTCTGCCTGCGGGCCTATGGTGGGCCTGGAGCTGCAGTGCACAGAATCATGTGTGGTCCTGACCCCAGAGGGCTGACATCCTGGGGACAGCAGGCACACCTGTGCGATTACTTACTTAACGTTCTATTTTAACTGAGCCAAACACTTGCATATCTTTAGCTTGAAAAGGCAGGTTAGTGTAGACAAGAAGTTCTCAAGCAGGGCTGTTTTGACCCCAGGGAGCCAGGCCTGGAGACATTTTGGATCTTCACAACTTGGGGTGCTACTGGCACCTCGTAGGCAGAGGCCAGGGATGTGCTGAATGCCCTGTAACATACAGAGAATGAGCTGGCCCCGATGTCTGTAAGGCTGAGTGGAGAAGCCCGGGGTAGTGGTTGCACGCATAGACTTTGGAGCCAATGACTTGACCTTGATTTCCTCGTCTGTAAAATGGGTATAACCAAGTGACCCACTTCATTGGATTATTGAAAGGACTAAATGAGTTACCTTCACACGAATCCTTAATGCAGTACCAGGCACATAGTAGGCACTTAATAATTGCTGTTGGCCCAGCTGGGGGCAACAATGCATGGTGCACTGGACTGCAAATGCTGGAAGTCACAGGGCCAACCGTGGGTTCAGATTCCCAGGTCAGCCTGAAAACATGCCAGGTGTGTGCGTCTTGGACACTCAAGATACCAAGGAGCAGGAGGGCTGGGAAGGGGCTATGGTGTGATGAGACCCTGCCGAGCGTTCTCTTTCTTATGCACATGCTCTCTACCATTAAAAAACTGTTGTCTGTTGTCAGGACCAGCAGATCACATAATGGTTATTCACTAGACTCCCATGTAGTTGATCGTGGTCCAAGTCCCAGACCTGGCGACTTGAAACTCATGTTGGGTATGTGTACATGTGTGCCCAAAATCCCAAGAGGAGAATGAAGGAGAAAGGACTGCAGCATGGCCATCCCCTCCTGGGGATGATCCCCTCCTGGTGATTTCTCGCAGTCTCTCTGTCTCTCCAGTGAGTGTGTGCATCCTATAGCAAAAATCTCTTTAAAAAATTGTCTATTGTTACTGTTAGTACTTATCTTACAGGGATACTGGGTATCATTTCCATCCATGGAAAGCAGATAACACCTGCTGTAAGTAAGCAATTGACAAAGAAATATACAACTATCCAAAGAATGCCACGTATGCTCCCGGCTCAGCCAAAACCCCCCTGAGGAAACAGGAGTGAACTGGATAGCCACGCTTGCTCCTCCAGACGACAGGGGCCCTTTGTTCTTCCAGGGCCTTCTCTCGGCTCTTCCAGCTAAATGTGGCACCCCCTCTTCCATTTTAGAGTCATCTCTGTGCAAGCCTGGACTTTCATTACCCTGCTTATTCCCTGGGGGGAAGACCTGTGCTTTTCTGATCTCCAACTCCTGTGCCCAACAGCCCAAGAACTCAAAGAAGTGCTTGCTGAATTTCCTGTTGATGAAGCCAACATGATGAGGCACTTCAGGGAAATTGAGATCAAATATCAGCTTCCATGGACTCTTTCCTTCCTGACCCTCAAAGCTAAGGGTGTGCACGCCTAGAATGAGATCGCTGATTCATTTCTAGCTCATGGACTGAGTGTGGTTCATAACTATTTTGCTAGGCTCGGAGAAGTTTTTGAAAACAGAAGTTTCATGTGAAAAAAATCCATATTCTTGGCTTCTCTTGAAAAATCAGAATATCTGGCAACATTTGGCCCAAATTCCAACAGAGAAATGGCTGTTCCTTTTAGGCAGCTCATGCTTGCTCTGATCTGCCGCAGTCTCCACCCCTCCTTATTGTGTTCCTAACACCCACTCTACTTTACTCACACATGTTCCCTCCCTGGCCCTGTAGGCATTTGAGTATGAGGCTTTTAGGATAGCAACAGAGCTCTCCAGAACTAAGCCAACGCACAGAGACTTAGTAACGGTCAAACATGGCTTTTTAAAGGCACCTTCCCTCCTGCAGCTCAATCCCCGATGAAAGCAAGTAGTACTGGTGAAGTTCATCACTTTCGGTGGAAACCCACTTCCTACTCCTGGGTGCCAGCAGGTGCTATAGACATGTTGGGGAAAACACACGCTCACACCTCTGGATGAGAAACAGCTGTTTGTTTGTTTTGTTTTTGCTATAGGGCATGTGGGCTGATGAGAGAGAGAGAAAGCCAGAATTCACTCCCCATGGGGGATGGCCACGCTGCAATCCCTCCTCCTCCAGTGTCCTCTCGGGATTTGGGGCACATATGTACATGTGCCTGATGTGATTTCAAGCCCCCAGGTCTGGGACTTGAACCATGCAGCAGCTATGTGGGGTTCAGTGCCTTACCCTCCATGCCACTTGCTGGCCTGAGAACCAGTGTTTTCATAGGAGCTGGAGGAAGGGGGCTGCACTTCTGAAAGGGGCTCCTTCCTATAAGGAACTGCCAAGCGCAACCACGTCATCACTCCCCTGGCCGCTCTGGGGAGAGCTACGGTTGCACGGATTGGGTTTCGGAAACCGAGGGCACACCTCACAGTGTGATTTTACAGCGCTGAGAGGGTTTCTAACTTCCCCTAAAATTGGAAGCCATCTCCTCAGGCACAGCCTGCCAGGATCCCTCAGAGGCGTGGGAATAATCCCTTTTAGGCACTTCGCTCAGCGTCAGGCTTTTTGGCTTTGCTGCCTTATCTTCGCCACCAAGGACAACAGATACGTTCTGTTTGGCAAGAGGGCGACAGGCCAAGGGATGTCCCTGGGCTCCCACAGCCTGGAGGGCTCTTCTGAAACCGCAGGCCGTGATCAAATCTCTCTGGGAATCTCTTCTTCCGACTTTGCCCACTTCTCCTCCAGCCAAGGCTCCCTCTTAGGGACTCCTCGGCTGTCCCTCACGCCCTGTCCACATTGTGAGTTTCCTGGGTGGGAGAGACCTTCCCTGGGTGGGTGTTCGGTTTGCAGTGTGTTTGCAGGTGGACAGGGTGGGAGGTGGGACACCACTGCAACACCATCTGCTCAGAGCCAGAGTCCCCTGTCCAGGGCCAGGTGCTGAAATGTGCTCCGCGGGGTCCTGAGGTGGGGTGCCTTCTACCATGGCCCTGGGCATCGCCCACACCCCATCTGCCGAGGGGGGAAGGTGGTTCAACCACTCTGGGCTCTACAGTCAGTCGGTCCGTGCTTCTGGAAAATCATGCCGCTTTTCGCCTCTCCCGACCCCTCACAGGAGGTCAGTCCTTCTATTGCCCTACTGTGTTAACGGCTGGCTCTGCGTTAAAGCGTGATGCGCTTCTGTGATTTGGCCTCTGAGGCTCCACGGATGACTGGGAAGAGGAAGCAGTGAGAGGGGTTGCAATGGTGGAGAGCAGACGGGGTCTGAGAGCGCTGTCATTCACTCATTCATTCTTTTGTTCACTCACTTATTCAATAGTTACTGAACACCCGCCACGTGTCGGACTTTGCTAGGCCTGGAAGCATGGCAGAGAACATTCCAGTGGGGACAGTCTCTAAATAGGTGCACAAGTCATTACAGGCTGGGGTGGAAATACAGCAAGGCGACAGGTGGAGAAAGACTGGGGTGGCGGGTCAGGGAGGGCTCCTTGGAGAAGGGGACATGGGCTGGGAGGGGTCCGTCTGTGAATACCTGCGAGAGAATGTTGAGGTGGACAGAGTGGCAGGATTTTGCTGCCTACCTGGGAGGTGCGCTTGCATAGTTAAGGACCAAAGCGGGTCAGGGAGGGCTCCTTGGAGAAGGGGACATGGGCTGGGAGGGGTCCCTCTGTGAA